GTTTTCCAGTCGACGCGTCAGATTACCCCAACTGGAGAGAGATAACAACCAGACTAACTACTAGTAATCACCAGACGAAGTGTCTATCTACCGCTGCCAGAGATAACCATTCCTCGCCCAAACACCGATAGCGGATGTCTTGACCCCTGACGACAGGTTAATCTCCGCTCTTCTTCTTCGGTCTTCATGTACTCCGCACTGTTGGTTAGGTCTGGAACAACCCGGCCTTCTCCCCGCTGTCTCAGCTACCAGGTCGGTTGCCCATTGTGTTACCGCCGATCCCGGCGTCCAAGATGTAAGGGATATGGGGACATGTCGGGGATAGCCTTTCCATGCTCTACCCACGCGATTATGACATGCGGTGGCCATCTATTGGGGGACTGACCGTTTCGGGCCTTCGCTCGCATTGGTTGTACCACCTATCGTTCCCTCCGCCCCAAGCCTTTCGAAGTCTATAATGTAACCCTTTCAACCTGGAGAGCCCATGAGGCGCTCTCGGAGAGGTTTCATTTGCGGCAACTCGAGGAAGAAGATAACATGGAACGCCCAATTGTCCAGAGGGATCTGGAGGATGCATATCAGCTGATGGCACAGACCGTGTGGTTCTGATAACGATCCACGGTTTCAGCGCTACGATTGGCAGCCGGGGCTTTGGTTATCAGCGATACTACTCCAAGCTCATGGCGTCAGCTATTCTTCCAGAAGGTTTCTGCGCCTGTGTCAGTTCGTCCGGTGCAAGATGCTAATAAAAGTATGCGGCACGCACGATACGACTGGGACAGGGGTGTTATCTTTATCTCCGCTTGATACTCGCCAAGCCCACTAATGGCCTGATAGAGGCCTCTTATCTGGCAAGTATATCGGTCATTGCGACGCGCAAGTCTGATTGGGAGGGACGTAGGCTCTTGCCTTGAGTTGCACAGCTGTGGTGGCGGTGTTATAATCATCCCGGTACCCCCGGCTGGGGTTGACGAGGCTTGCTGATTCCTGTTTCTTCATCGTCTCTAATAGTGGCCTTTTCCCTCTTATTGTATCGACCATCCCTTCATGATGGCCGATCACTCTACCATGGCGGCCTACGAAACGTCGAGTAATCGGAGCCCCCAGGATGCTGAGAAGAAAGGCGAGCCCATGGAGCGCTGGGCATCTGTGGATGTCGACTACGGTGCCGAAACCGATCTCAAGCGGAGTCTGTCCACACGGCATTTGACCATGATTGCGCTGGGGTCATCGATTGGTATGGGGTTATGGCTGGGAAGTGGTGAATCACTGGCGGATGGTGGTCCGGCTGCCATCTTCATTGGCTACCTGCTGAGTGGCACGATGATTTGGTCCGTCAGCCACTCGATCGGCGAGATGGCCGTTATGTATCCTCTGCCGTCTGCGTTCACCCAGTGGACGGAGATCTTCATCGACAGATCGGCGGCCTTTGCGCTGGGCTGGGCGTATTGGTTCTCCTACTTCATCACGATCGCAAACGAACTCCAGGTAGGACTCCGTGTCTACGTGGCTAGGAGTTGTGTGCTAACTGCTTAGGGTATCGTCACGGTCCTGAACTTTTGGACGGACAAGGTACCAACTGCGGCCTGGATTACAATCTTCTGGGTGGTGATTATCTTCATCAACGTCTTTGCGGTCCGATTCTTTGGCGAGGTAGAGGTCATTGCCTCCTCAATCAAGTTCGGATGGATCTTTGTGGTCATTATTTCTCTCATCGGTTAGTCACATACGCATGTTCTGCTTCTCACCTAGCCCTCCAACTGACGCACACCCATCTCGTGTTTGATAGTGGTTTCGGCCGGCGGCGCTCCCGACGAAGGACCGATTGGCTTCCGTTACTGGAATTCGATGCCATTCACCAACGGCTTCAAAGGCTTCCTGTCTGTCATGCCCACCTGTATCTTCGCCATGTCCGGATCGGAGAACTCGGCGCTGGTTGCAGCGGAGACAGACAATCCGCGCAAGGCGGTGCCACGTGCCGTGAGCTCGATCTGGTTGCGCCTGTCGCTGTTTTACGTCTTGGGATCGTTGATGATCACCATCACGGTGTCACCGAAGGATCCTAATCTTTTTGGCGGTAGCGGCGTCAACGCATCGCCGTTTGTCATTGCCTATCGCAACGCGGGTCTTGCTCCGTTGGCTCACATCATGAACGCGGTGATCTTCATCTCTGTGCTGTCCACAGGAAGTATTTCTGCCTATGGTGGATCCCGGACACTGATGGGCTTGACGCATCTCAAGCTCGCGCCGAAGGTTGGTCTCCCTGTAACCCTTGACTATCTAATTCATCAACTACTTGTCTTTCCTGATCTCCTCAACTAACTCCTCTACCTACAAATCTAGATCTTCGGCAAGGCCGACAAAGCCGGTCGCCCCGTCGCCGGACTCGTCATCACGCTCGTCATCGGCGGCGGCCTGGCCTACCTCAACGTGAACAACAAGGGTTCGACCGTCTTCACCTGGTTCTCCAACCTGACCTCCCTCTTCACGCTCTTCGGATGGGGCACCATCTGCCTCTCGCATCTCCGTATGCGCTACGCCTGGAAGATCCAAGGCCGCTCCGTCGATGACCTCCCCTGGCGGTCCTGGACCTACCCTTACGGCGCCATCTGGGGCTTAACCTGGTGCATTCTGCTCATCATCGCCGAGTTCTACCTCAGTCTGTGGCCCCTGGGCGGCAATCCCACAGCCAAGGGCTTCTTCGCCAACTATGTGTCCGTGGTGGCGATTGTGGTGCTGTATATCGGGGCGCGCTGCTACTACCGTGGACGGTGGTGGGTGGATGCGAGCACGATTGATCTCGATGGTCCTCGTCGGTTCTATGCCGAGGTGGCGGATGTTGAGGCGAGACCGGCTAAGACGGGGGTGAAGAAGTATGCCTCGATGCTGGTGTCTGCTGTTTTAGAGTAGATGATGGTGTTGCCAAGTAGTGTATGTAGGTACCTGTTTACTGTAGGGTATATGGTAGGTTAGGTTAGGCGTATATATTGGTGGGTTGGTCAATGTATATTGTTTATCTAAGTCTCTTGTTCATTCTAGCACTACTATCTGCATTTACATTAGAAGGTTCGCGAGAGATAGTGTCTTTAAGAGCATAGTATATGAGGATGACACCCAAATTATAGTACTACTAGTAGTAGTCATGGTATTAGCGAAGACGGCAGGAACATTCTGAAAGTATATAATATATAATAGCTAACGTCATGCTTATCCATTTACCGTGTGAGAGTACATCGGAGTGACCGACATTAGACTATCAATCAATATAATGCTGCTACTAGTACTCACTCTACTTCCCTATTACTGCTACTATCAATAGATATACCTGGTTGCTTTGATCATAACCCTCTCTTATAAGTCAGTCTACCCCACCCGCTGACAAGGATCATAATTCTCACCGCCCAAGGTATGACCCCTCCACTTTTTCCCCCTCCATCTTATGGTCAGGTGTTTGTGAATGCTTCTAATTAGGCAATTATGGGATATCATCGACCGTGAAGCGAGAAGATCATGCAGCTGGTGGATGCGACCGTGAAAAGATGGTTGTGGGTGTGGTGAGGGTGACTCGGAGCGGGGAAAGGAGATCGAGATTAGGGTGTCGCGTGCGCAAATGCACCAGAGGACTATCGATGACATTGCAATCAAATTCGAATCTCGAATTAACGGAAGGAGCTGTTGCTAGTGATTTGATTGAAGTGACAACCCTCGTCGTTGACTGCTCAGAAAGCATCAAGTCGAGCACACCACCGATTTCATGCCTTGGTACCTCAGGTATCATTTTGGGTATCTCGGGTGCGATCGCAAGGCAAAACCGGATTATGGAGGGCGTCGTCTATTTTCAGCAAGGTGGATGCTCCAAGTAAGCTGATCCCATTTTGACGATGACAAGGCGAGCCAGTTGTTCACTCGATTAGGCCGCACTCAGAGAGGTTGGACCAGTTGGATCAGTTGGGCCTGATCGGGTTGTCCATCACTCCATTCTATCGACAGCCTGAGGCAGCGGCAACCGCGATAGACTCAGGGTTTATTCTCGCATCACATGTTGGTCAGCAGCGAGGAGGAGCATCTCTTCGAGTGAGTCACAGGAGAGACCGGAGCAATGACGTTAGACGTGCTCCGCACCGCATTCCACAGGCTGTATCTAGTCTATCTGGTGCCTGGAGCCAAAAAGCCAGGCAAAAGAGGAGAACACGAAGGTCGAAGATGGCCCGCAGGCGGAGAGAGACCCATCATAAGTATAAGCCGGAGGAATAATCAGAAATGCAGGGAAGAATTGATTTGGGAAAGTCGGACGAGGCGACAGCTCAAAGTGGCTCAGTGGGTGAGTTGGCCGGGGAACTGATAGGCTGCCGATGCGCCAGATCAGCAACTAGTCTGCAGTTACCCTATCCTCTATCTCGACTGGTTCCATTGCAGCCCTGCAGCTTGACCTGCTGGCTGTCAATCTACCGCATCACGATAGTAGCATCCCCCCCCCGTTTCGACATGGATTCCTGCCCCTTGGCCAGGGCGTCCCCTGGTCTCCATACTGCTTCTTCGTTGTTTCATGTTTCGTGTTTCAGCAAGGTCGATTCGCGACACTTGGATCATGTCTCTCCAGGACACCAGCCATCATTCCCCCAGATCAGCTCCACCCGAACAAGCTCGTCCCCGATGACAGGATGCTTTGCCTGGCCGTTGGGCTGCACAAGTGGCGGTGAATGGCTTCACTTTTCGTCCAAACCCGGAAACGACCAACCATGGCTGGCTTCCGGCCACACACTACCTGTCGCCCCGTCATAGGCAGTCCGGAAAGAATGGTGTCTGACTGAACTTCCCTTCCATGACTGCCGGACTGCTTCACTTCCACTTCTCGGGGATTTCTGCTGCCCAGCCGACATGGCTGATAAATATGGCCATGAGGACGCTGGCTCCAGGAGACTTTCCAACACTGCAATCCCCCTCATGACCATCTGCTGCTTTACTCCCCTGTGAATGACCAAGTCTTTCATCTTCCATCCCTTCATGCTCCCGATTGTCGGGCCTCTCCTTGCACGACTGTTTGTCTATCCGTTTCGCAACAACATGGACTGCTCGATGACCCGGCCGTCATCGACATCGCGGTTCCCCTTCTTCCCCTTTTCGCTGTGGTCCTCCAAGCGACCGCAGCAATCCACCGCGTCGACACAGACTCCGGCGCAGACCTCGCCACGCATCATGGCACAATCCCAGACACAGATCCAGGCTCCTGCCCGATCAGAGCCCGAAACACAATCACAACGACAGCCCGAGAGTCTGCCTCGGACTCCGGTCCCTCCCCAGCCGACAGCAGAGGAACTGGCCGAGCGCGACCGTCAAAATCGTGAGACGGCCCGTGAAGAGGCAGTTCAGGAGCTGGACAGTCTGGTCGGCCACGACAACGTCAAACGCCAGCTGCACGGCGTCCAGACCTGGGTGCAGATTTGCCGTCGCCATGGACGCGACCCGAAGAGCGAGTGGTACAACATCGCCTTCCTGGGCAATCCCGGCACAGGCAAGACCACCGTCGCCCGCATCTACGCCAAGATGCTGTACGCCATGGGTATCTGTGATTCCCATACCGTCTGTGAGACTACTGGCGCCGATCTGGCTAGCCGGGGTCCCGACGGAGTGCAGCAACTGCTGCGCAACATGACGGACGCCAAAGCTCCGGTGCAAACCGCCGGAGTGCTCATCGTCGACCATCCCCACACCCTGATGGACGCTCCCCAGACCCCGGCTACCGAGCAGGCTCTCGAGGATATCCGGCATGCGATGGAGCGCAACATCGGTCGCATTATTGTCATCTTCACTGGCGACGCCGACGAGATGAATAGCTTCTTGCGCGAGAACCCCTCCCTCCAGCAACGGATCTGCAGCTCGCTGCGATTCAATGACTTTGACCGCCAGCAGCTGACGCAGCTGCTGGCCCGTCGCATCATCACCGAATACAACGGTCGCATGCAGGTTGAGGGGGGTCTCGAGGGCACCTACATGCAGGCTGCAGCTCGCCGGCTGGTCCGGGGGCGTGCCGCCAAGGGGTTCACCAACGCCCATGCCGTGCGCGAGATGGTCAAGAGCATTGCTCAGCGTCAGGCCCAGTGCTTGACCGACCAGCAGGACAGCGGCATGGACGAGGTGGACTACTTTTTCTTCTCCAAGGATGATGTTCTCGGCCCCAGCCCGGCGGAGACCCGGTCGACCAGCGAAGCCTGGGAAGCCATGCAGAAGCTGATCGGTCAGGACGCCGTCAAGGCCTCGGTGGCTGAAGTTTTCGACACGACCGAGGAGAACTACTACCGCGAGATCCGCAACCAGCGTCGTCTGCCGCTGCGGGTCAATCGCATCTTTGCGGGGCCTCCAGGCACCGGCAAGAGCACGGCCATCCGAATGTACGCCCAGATTCTGGTGGACTTGGGAGTGTTGAACAACGGAGAGGGTAAGTACCCGCACAAGAGTAGTATAGAAAAACTGCTAACGAGTGTAGTCCGTGTCAAACCGCTGTCGGCTCTCTGTGATCTGCCGGAAGACCAACTCCGTGCGACCGTCGAGTCGACGATCGGCAATGTCCTCGTTGTCGACGTCGACACCGATCGCCAGGAGCGCCCGACCGTGCCGGACGCGGTCGTCGACATCCTCGCAGCGCCGCGCGACAATCACTGCACCATCCTGGTTGGTACGCACGACAGCATCAGCCAGTTCCTGCATCGCGCGGGTCCCAAAGCCCGCGGGTTTGAGACACATCTGGTGCGCTTCTCTGCGTTGACGCGCGAGCACATGGAAGAGCTCTTCCAAAGCAAGCTCGACGAGCAGGATCTCGATGCCACCCCGGAGGCCTTCCAGGCCGCCATGGACACCCTCGACAACGCCCGTATGCGCAAGGACTTTGACAATGCTCGCGCCGTCGAGCATCTCCTCGCTGCGGCCATCTATCACTTTGAGCGTCGGTCGCGCACCGGCGCCAGCGCCCAGCCCGTCGAACGTCTCCTTGAGGGACGCGACTTCAATCCGGAGCTGGTGGGCGGCACGACGGCGCTGGTCTTCCGCGAGGAGCTGCGCCATTCCATCGTGCCGGACGATATCATCTCCATCCTGAAGCGGTATCACAATGAGATGAAGGCCGCCTGGCTGCAGGGGCTGGATCCGGGCGCACGTATGCCCGCTGCATTTGTATTCAAGGGTGCACCAGGTAATACATTCCGTTCCGTCCATTTCCATACAAATAACTAACTTTAACATAGGCACCGGTAAAAAGACCGTCGCCCGCCAGCTAGGCACCTTGTACTACAAGATGGGCGCTCTCAGCGACGGAGCCCTGGTGCCATGCTCGGTTGCCGACCTACTAGCACCCAACGTCCACCCGACCTCGGTGCGGTCCCGGTCGCAACTAGACCAAAACAAGGGCAAGGTGCTCTTCATCGAAGACGCCCACCGACTAGCCGACACCGATACCACGCAGGCCGTGGACGAGCTAGTCTACCTGCTGCCCAAGTATGCCTCCACCATGGTGGTGATCCTGGCCGGACCGGCCCAGGAAATGGACCAGTTGCTGGCCAACCGGCCACGTTTGTCCGCCCTGTTCCAAGAAGAGATTGTCTTCCGCAACCCAACGCCACGCGAATGTCTCCGTCTGCTGGACCGCAAGCTGGATGAGCAGCAGATCAAGGGTCCCCGGTTGTACTTGACGGACCCGCGCGCGCCTAGCCATCGCGAGTTCACCCGCGCCATTCAGATCCTATCCATGTTCCCTTGCTGGAGCAATGCTCGGGATGTGGAGGTGTTGGTGCGCTGGATGGTCGCGGCGTGTATCAAGGATCTGCCGCTGGATAATAGCAGCAGTGTCAGTGCTCTACCGGCGATGCAGTTGTCCGAGGAGCAGGCGATGAGTTGCATGGTCAGGCTATTCAATCTGAAGCGTGATCGTTTGAGATTTAACCAGGATCCCAAGGCCAGGGCCTTGCCTAGGGTGCTGTCGCAGCCTAGGTGTACGGATCGGACCGGGGTGAAGTTCCCTGTTTGATTTGATGACTTTATGTGATTTGCTTGGATTTTCGCGATGTTTCCTATGTGATATGCTTTGGTGGATTATGTATTGTATCAGACTGATGATATAGCGTGTGTTTGTGCTTGTGCTTGTGTTTGATTCTGGTTTATGGCTTATGTTGCATTGCATATGCATCTGACCCTCGTCACTCATTGAACTCTCCTTTGTTTTGTGCTTTTTGCATGGATGCTTGGCATGTATGGTGCATCAGACGGAATACTGAACGTCGTGGTGGTGACATTGACTAGATACTTAATATAAGGCTGGTCCTATCAAGACTACTATGTGAACTTACTATCGTAGAAGGCTCTCTAAATTATTATATCATCAATTGACCTGACTTTGCCATTGATGCAATTTCTACATCTTTACATTGTCTGTCTTAGTAACTTCTGAAATCTAACAGGTAGAATATCAACACGCGACTGAACCATCCATCTATCAATCTACTTCCCCAAAGCCAGATACTCCCCAACCCACTCTGATGCCCTCGATCCTTCTCCCTCACTCCATCCCCATACACCCTTCGCCCCAACATACCCATCCGGCCTGACAATCATCACCCCGACCTGATCCCTCTCCATCTCCCCCATCCACTTTCCAGTACACCCTTCCCCACCCTCAACATCATCCAAATACACCGTCCACCGACTCTGTTGCAACAACTCGGGCAAATCCCCCAGTTCAAAGTCCCTCTTCTCACTCCTCGTCACTAACCCGTACGTCACCACCTCCGAAACAGGTGTATACCGCGCCAACGGGAAATACTTGTCCCCATCACTAAACCCCCGAGGACACTTCTTGTATGACTCCCTTGCCACCCCGTTCACCCCCTCCATCCCAACTCCCCCACAGAACCCCTCCAAAAACCCCTTCCCACCAACCACCTCCCCCGCAAACAAAATCACCCTAAACTGTCCCATCATCGGGACATCAAGTTGCAGATCCACCAAATTAGCATCAATATACCTCGTCGCTTTCGCAGGACGAGTCAATGTGCCCGCCTGAATTCCACCTTTCATTTTACCATCAGCTGACTTCGTAAGAACACCAGCGTCATACTCAGCCCCGACGCCGGAAATAAACCGGATATTCTCCTCGAAGTTTCGAGCAAGTGCCGCCTCGCCTTTCTCGAACGCCGCGACGTGCCCTGCATCAAAGGCAATCAGGTCGTTGGCGATCTTTCGTCGTTCATCGGAGTAGGTGTTTAGTAGGGATGCTGGGGCGAGGTTTCGGGCTACAAGGTTCAATTTCCACGCTAGGTTCACGCTGTCGTGCATGCTGGTGTTGGCGCCTTGGGCTGCGAGGGCGGAGTGTACGTGACCGGCCTGTCCATTATCAGTACACTGATGAGAAATGAAGAATACAAGGGGAAAGAGGGGGGAATGTACATCGCCGGCAATGAAGATCTGGTTCTCGGGGTCGCTGAATCGGCGAGCGACGCGCTGGCCGACGACGTAGTTGCCGAACCATTCTATACGAATTAACAATCTGTTTCCCGGAATTGAGAGGGGGCACTTTGGGGCAGGGAATACCAATTTCCTTCCACTCCAACCGGAAAGGCTGCATCGCCTCTCGCGCCCTTGCCATAACGTACTCTGGCGTCGCCTTGGCCCTATCGACCCTCTCCCCGTCCGTGGAGCTAAGCTCAACATACAGTCTCGTCATTCCGCGCTCCCTCGGAATCCAAAGAATCGATCCTGCCGTGTGCGAGCGAACAGCCACCTTACTCCACAAGTCGGGAAAATCGGTATCGATGACTCCTGTTACCAATTAGTACTTCCCACTACCAGCGAGAGACAAATGAAATAGATAAATACCATCCAACACCCCCCAAGAAGCATTACTCATTTCCCCCTCCAACTGTGCACCGGGAATAAAGTCCCGAACCTTGGATCTCGCGCCATCACATCCAACGAGGTATTTCGTCCGAATGATCTTTTTGGTATTTGTTGTATTGTCGTTGTAGATCACTTCTAGCTCTCCACTCCCGTCCTGTGTTTTAGACACAGACACGAATGGGCTGTTTCGCTGGACATATCCCCCGCGCTCTTCTATATCTTCGATAAGCACGTCCTCGAGCATGCCCTGGTGCGCGAGGAGGATGTATGGGTCTGATGCGCCGACGAGGTGCTCGGGGTAGTGTGTTTGGCGGGATGTGCGGGTGAGGGTTGGGGATTGGGGGGTGGATTCCTAGATTATCATTCATATTGTCATTAGTATAATTCATATCTTGGGGGTTGTGATATGGGAGTAAGGGATAGGGATAGAGATACCCAGAAACAAATATCATACACCTTCGCCCCATTGCGGAGCAACTCATCCGATAGCCTGAACTGTTTCAGCGTCTCGATGGTCTTCGGCTGCAGACCGTCCGCTTTGCCGGTTGATGTAGCTGTCGGGCGGTCATCGAGGAGAGTCACGGGTGTGCCGTAGCGGATGAGGTTGTTTCTATTCACATCATCATCAGTTAGTTGGGGGAATTTCTTTGGTGGGGATGGTGAGTGGGGGAGGAGGTACGTTAGCATGAGACCTGAGGGGCCAGCGCCTACTACCACCACTGTTGTGGTGGGTATGGTGGACGGGCTGGGAAAGCCCTCGTTGATAGCGCTGGGAGACATTGTTTGAGATGTTATTTTTCTTTGGAAATGTGATGCTACGCTCATACTTGCTTCTAGATGAGTATTGTTATAGTTGGTAGCTAGCTAGTCGGTGATGGGGTTCGGAGCGATCGCCGACTGAGCTGATAACCCCACTTTTGGGCGTGGATACAGTGGTAGCTTATGCGGGGATAGCTACCTTTCTGATAGATTGAAAGATTATGATTATGAATGATTGCGTGATAGGATGTATTATCAGTCTGTATTGATTGCCTAATCGTTAAACTGCAATTATGATAATGCTACCACTTAGTCACCCCCCCATCCACGATCACATCCTGCCCCGTCATGTACGAACTGGCATCGCTCGCCAGAAACACACACGCTCCCATGATGTCCTCCGGCTCGGCGATGCGCCCGTTCATTGCTGCAGATTTCCATTCTTCGATCAAATGGGGGAACTGCCATCACTAAGATTAGATTATCCGGTCTCGGAGGGAGAAAATGGTACTCACAGCAGCAGTCATCTCCGTCCTCACATATCCCGGCGAGATCGAGTTCACGCGAATACCCTACCACAATTAGCCACCTCTCCTCTCTATTGACGCCACCACACCAGCAGGGACATACATATTCAGCCAACTCCTTCGCAATAGCAGGACACATCGCCCTCACCGCCCCCTTACTCCCACAATACGCACTGCACAGCTGGCTCCGTACCGCCACGTGGCTCGCCATACTCGCCACCAGCACGATACTCCCGTGTTTTGTGCCATTGGCAATCATCTGCCGTGCCGCCAGCTGGGCCGTATGGAATAGGCCTAGCACATTCACACCCAGCAGCTCTTGGTGGTCGGCGTAGTTGAATTCAAGGAATGTTTGGTGCCGGTTGATACCTGCGCACGGGACGCAGATATCGAGTGCATTGTTGAAGTCTGTTTGGAAGGCGCCGAAGCCGGTGGCGAGGGACTCGGGGGAGGATACGTCCACTCTGTAGCAATCCGTTAGGGTCTGTGGTGCGAAGTGTAGAACCCAGAGGGTGGGAGGAATACTCGTAATATGCAGTCCGCACACCATACTCCTTCTCGATAGATAGAAACCCCTCCTCAGGAGGTATCCGATCGAAGATGGCTACGTTGGCACCTGCTTGGGCGAGACCGCGCGCAAAGGCAAGACCGCAGCCCCGGGCACCGCCGGTGACGAGGGCGGTTCGACCTTGGAGGGAGAACTGGGCTGTTAGTTCTTCTGAGAGAAATGTCCTGAGGCGATCGACTTACTCGAGACATAGTGGACGTAATACTGGGGATGGATCTGCTGGTGATTGCTGGAAGCTGTTTGCCCCGACCGCAGGGTGTACTTATTCTCCCCGCAAATGATATGATAAGATTGATGCATCCCCTCATGCCCGACCCCCATTCTTGTCAGGCACGAGCTTATCCCCCATTCTAGGAGCAGACCAAACATTCAGCTGGAGCTGGAACTGGCTTTATATGATGGCTTAGAACGTATCCACTGGATCATACACCACTTACTGTTGTATACAGGATTGATACCATGGCGCCCCCTATCCACATCAAAGAGAAGCGCTCCCTCCCCGACAACTGTCGGTTGCAGGTACATCCCGCTCCCCCATGCGTCTTATTCATTCATCTGAGCTAAGAATGAAAGATCATCATCATCGGCGCCGGCCTCGCCGGCCTCGGCACCGCCATCTCCTGCCTCCTCGCTGGACACGACGTACACGTCCTCGAAGCGACGCACGAGATCCGCGAAGTAGGCGCCGGTATCCAAGTCCTCCCGAATAGCTCAAGAGTGCTCAAACACTGGGGTCTAGAACCCGCTCTCACACCACACATGACACACCCGCGCGTCTGCAACTTTCTACACTGGAAGGGCGAGATCATTTCCAGCTTGAGTTTCGTTGACTCGGCGAAGCAGTACCCGGGCACGTGGTATCGCGATTTCCACCGCGCGGATTTACAGCGCTGTTTGCTTGAAAGGGCGGAGGAGTTGGGAGCGAAGATTACCTGCGCTGCTAGGATTGTGGATATTGTTCCGGATGAGGATGGGGCTATGGCGACGGCGGTGGCGAGTGATGGACGCTCGTGGAGGGGGGATCTGGTTGTTAGTGCTGATGGGGTGTTTGGGAAGTTGACGGAGGTTATGTTGAAGAGGCCCGATCCACCCATTAAGACGGGGGATCTGGCGTATCGGTTGTTGTTGTCCACGGAGGAGATGTTGAAGGATCCGGAGTTGAGGGGGTTTGTGACGGATCCTCAGGTCAATTATTGGTTGGGGCCGGATAAACATGCTGGTTAGTATTCAATTTTCCATTTAAGGATTGGGGGCTAATGAGGGTAGTGAACTATGTCCTGCGACAAGGGGAACTTTTCAATATGGTGCTGCTTGTGCCTGATGATATCCCCGAGGAGTCGTTGGCTTCGACGGTCGAGGGTAATGTGCAGGAGATGTGTGCTTTGTTTGAGGGATGGGATCCGAGGTATTACTTCACTACTACCTTCTATTGATGATGACGCTAATTTGTAGGATCCAAAAACTCCTCAAGCTCTGCCAATCCGTGCATAAATGGCGTCTATGCATCCGCTTCGGCGATTACGACTGGACACATCCTTCCGGGGCATGGGTCATGCTAGGCGACTCGGTGCATGCTACACTTCCCTATCTTGCTTCTGGGTACCCCTCCCCTTTCTATCTAATACAAAGAAGATGCTGATATTGGTGACAGTGCAGGAATGGCCTTCGAAGACGGCGCCGTGCTCGGTGAATGCCTCTCCCGTCTCCCATCGGGCCCTAACGTCTCGAAATCCTCGCCCGAGTTCATCGCCGCTAAGCGTCACGCTCTGGCCGTATTTGAGAAATGTCGCAAGCAGCGCACGCAGATGGTTGTGGAACGGGGAAATAAACAGCAGTATCTGTATCATTTGCATGATGGGCCTGAGCAGGAGGAACGGGATCGGAAGATGCGCATGGTGCCGACGCCTGAAGGGGAGGCGCTAGCGTGGAGAGACCCGGGTTTGGCGCCGAAGTTGTTGGGATATGATCATATTGCGGATGTAAGTGCTTCTAAACGTAACCTGGGAGGCAGTGCTAATGGTATTCAGGTGGATGCGAAATGGGACACAGTGGGGGAGAAGGCGGAGATGGAGGTGGAGGTAGCGAGGCTGTGAGTACTGCATTAGAGCTGTGTGTTGTGCTCTGGCTGAAGGGATGGCAGACATTAGAGGCTATAAGGATACTTGTGGAAATGACGTGTATACTTTACTACTGGAATACAATATCATATTTCTATAACGGGGATGCAAAGATGTGGACTTGAGACTTGTTAACGCATCCAACAACTCTTGATACTATGTTCGTGTTAGTACCCATTGATGAGAAATTTCTTGGAAGTGCCTGTCTAAGCTTGATACCTTAGAGACGCTATTGCCACACCGGCCAGGCTTCCTTCACACCGGCCTTCGCTTACCTTATATAGTAAGGTTTCATTCATTTAAGATAAGGCTTGATCTTTTAAACAGGCAGAATCCTACCATCTGCTATTTTAGATCTTTATTCCTGAGGCATGAATTCAGCACCTCCCCATATATATCCACTGGACTAGTGCCTTCTTCAGATGTGATTATTGAGAAGACGGAGTACTATCCATGAAATGTTAATAATTAGTAAGATGCATGCCTCAACATATCTACACCTCATCACGCAACAGCAACAAAGAACCCCTTCTCTCCTTCCTTCCTCTTCACCTCTGCCTTCTTCACCAAATCATCTCCAACCGCCAGCCTCAACTTCTCCGCCGTAGCTGGACTATCCAGCACCAATGGCCCTTGCACACCGAAATCCGCTCTCGCGCTCTTCAACGCCTCCCTCAAGGCAAACAACACCGACGACCCCATGAACAGCGGCGGCTCTCCGATACCCTTGCTGCTCTGGATCGAGCGCAGATGACTCCACGACACACCCTGCAGGAAACTGACATTGAACTCCTGCGGGATATCACTGAAACCAGGAATCTTATACGTGCCCGGTCCCCGTGTGGCCAACTGCCCTCCCTGCGTCCAGAGAGTCTCCTCCATTGTAAACAATCCCTGTCCCTGAACAAATGCACCCTCGATCTGCCCATAGTCAATAGCAGGGTTAATGGACCTTCCCACGTCCATCTTAATGTCCGTGCGGAGCACAGTATGGTCGCCGGTAAGCAGATCCAGCTCGACTTCAGTGCACGCGACGCCCTATCACCCATTAGCATACCATCCCCAACACAAGCACCCCTAAAGAAACAGGCAAACATACCTGCGTAAAATAATAATACATCGGCTTCACCTTCTCCACATCATACGTCCCCCACTGATACCCCACCTTAGGCATCTTCCAGAACCCACTCGCCGCCAGATTGACCCGATCGCGATACGCCGCATGCGCTATCGTCGCCATATCAGCGTCCTTGCCCAACTTCTCCCGATACGGCTTCAACCGCTCATTCAGCTGATCGCACGCATCCTTAACCGCCATTCCGTTCAAATCACTCCCCGACGAGGCCGCAGTCGGCGACGCATTCGCCGTCTGGTACGACGAGCTATCCTGCGTATACACACTCTCAGCCGGAACACCCAGTTCCTGCGCCGCGACCTGCACCATTTTCGTGTACAGGCCCTGGCCCATCTCAGTTCCACCGTGGTTTAGTAATACTGAGCCGTCAGTGTAGATTTTGACGTTCGCGCCGGCTTGGTTGAGATGGACTGCAGTCGCGAAGGAGATGCCGAATTTCGTTGGGATCATAGATATCCCTCGCTTTCTGTAGCGGTGGTGTTTATTGAACTCTGCTATCTCGGCCTTGCGCTCTGCGTACCGCGCCTCCTTCTTAACCTGTTCCAGCAGCATAGGAACGTGCCAGTCCTGGTCGATCTCCTGTAGGAATGGCGTCCTTTGTCCTTGAGTATAAAGATTTTTCATCCGCAACTCATCAATATCCATCCCTAACCCCTCCGCAACAGCAGACATGTAGCTCTCCGCGATGAACATGGCCTGCGGCCCACCGAACCCCCGGAACGCAGTATTACTATGCGTGTTCGTCTTGCACACCCACCCGCGGATGTGCGCATGCGGGAAGTAATAGCAGTTCTCGATGTGCGTGCAGCACCGGTCCATCACGGCACCGCTCATGTCCAGAGAGAAGCCCGCGTTGTTGTAGACGTCTGCGTCGAGGGCGACTAGCTTCCCGTCGTTCATGACACCAACCTTCCAGCGACATTGGAAGGGGTGTCGCTGGCCAGAGGTCATCATGTCTTCGTCGCGGTTGAGCATAGCGCGCATCGGACGCTTGGTCTTCTTAGCTGCGATGGCTAGTAGACAGGCGAGTTGCACGCTGCGGGATTCCTTGCCGCCAAAGGCGCCGCCCATGCGTTTCACTCGTGCGTTGATGCGCGACGATGGGACGGATGTCACTTGGCTGACGTATTCTTGGGTTTCCATCCTATTCCAACCATTAGCATTAATCCGTGATGGGTATGGGGAAGGACATACGTATTCTGCGTCGATGACCAGACCTCCATACTCCCGTCCTCAGAATGAGGAATTACAACCGCTGCATTCGTCTCGAGATAGAAGTGCTCCTGTCCACCCATACGGATAACACCCTCGAAAACCCGATCACATTTGTCAAAAACATCCTTCATCTTCTCCGGCGTCACAGCCACCCCTTTCCTCAACTGCTTCCCATGAGGCCAGTAACTCCCCTTCTCAATTGCCTCGTCGATCGTAAGTATTGTCTCGAGATCCTCATATTTTACCTTCACTGCCCTCGCCGCCATCTGCGCCTGCAGCGCCGTCTCCGCATACACCAGTCCAATCGGCTGCCCGTGCGACATCACCTCGTCCACCGCAAAGAACTGCTCGTTCTTCACCACTGGTCCCCAGATGTTCTTCTCCGCCGGGATACTGGTATGGTCTATGTATCCCAGGGCCAAGCCCGGCTGCAAAGCGGGCGTCCAGTCCACGGAGAGGAGCTTGGCATGGGCGCGCTGCGATAACACCATCGCGCCGAAGAGTTCCCGATGCTGCGGGGGCATGTCGTCGACGTATTCGGCTTCGCCGGTGGCGTGCTTCAGACCGGATAGATGAGGGAGCTGTTTTCCGACTACACGTTGTTCGTGCGGGTTGTGGTTGTCGCGCGTGCCGTGAGAGATGTTGCGGTGAATTTCGGTCGTGAGGGATGGGTCAGCGGCTGTGGAGGTGCGGTTGAGGTCGGAGATGACTTCGTGCCAGAAGCGGAAGAACAGAGATGTGGCCAGTGTACGCCGGTAGTGTGCCATTCCGCCAGGAACAGAGTAAGGGAGATTGAAGTCCTCGAGGAGGGCATCGATCGTGCTGTCTAGAACGGCTTGCACGCCCCATTTCTTGCCCTGTAGGGCGGCCATGGCCTGTCTGGCTAGGAGGGTTGTCGGCGCCATGCCGCCGTAGGCAAGGGCAATTTCGCTTACAGTGTTGTCTGGGGCGAGACGCACCCGGAAGGCGGCGGTCACGATGGCGATATCGTCGTCTTTGCGCTTGGCTTGTTTATAGGACTTGGTGAGTTCGCGGGTCCCCGGCGGTGGGAGGGGAATGCGGATCGAGGTGATGATGCTGTCTCTGGGAAGGGCGGTCTTGCGGTAGCCTAGGAACATGTTGGTCATGGGGATAGTGGTTTCCTGGGTTGGGGTGCGCGCGACGATGGTGGCGTTGATGGCTAGGAGCACTGGGTTCATGTCCGAGATGGGCGACGCCGTGGCGATGTTTCCGGCTAGTGAAGCCGCGTTGCGGATCTGGCGTCCTGCAAAGTAGCGCAGGACTTTAGATGTGGCTGAGAGGACGGAGCCTCGGTCCCCTAGGGCTGGGGTCAGTCGGTTGCATTCGGCTTCGATGTCGCTGAGGGGCGTGTTGCCGCCGATGATGAGTTCCGTGATGGTGCCGTCTTTCTCAACGGGTTTGATGTATGACAATTCGTCCAGATCACCAATGAAGACAGATACGGCGAACTCGGCGCCCTTGAAGCGAATGTCGACTTGGACCTCACTGGCACCACCAACAAGAGTGGCCGATGGGCAGCGGGCGAGAATTTCCAAGGTTTGGGCGAGTGTCACCGGGCGCAGCCAGGCCTTCCGGTCGTCGGTGTAGCAGACGAGATGAGGGGTAGCCTTGGTCAAGGCTGGAGGGTAAATAAGCTCAGTGTTCGGAATGTACGGCTTGAAGTCGAATTGTGGTACGGTGCTGTTAGCCAGGTCCTTCTCTGGTTCTGTATCCGGTGTCGAAATACTGGTGCGCGAGCTGTCTCGATCCGAAGAAGACGAGCAAGACGACCCCGGAGTATCACGACAGCATCCGCCTGGACGCCCACAGGACTGCGGCCGCGATGTATCCGATTCAGTCTCAATCGGACTCTCCGTGTCTGAAGCTCGCGTGCGCACAGCCAACCGGGCTTGAAGATCTTCCTGGACAAACGTCTTTGCTGCCTGCAGAATGGGCTTGTAGCCGGTGCACCGACACAGATTGCCATCCAGGTGACCCTTCATCTCAATATCATCCTCTGTTAGGTTGAATTGTCCGGTCTTGGGATCGTATGCATTTCGCACGAGCGCATATAGCGACATAACTATACCCGGGGTACAGAAACCACATCTAATCTATCAGCATTGCTCATCCATCAGACCATGGTCAACTTACTGCGACCCATGGAGCTTCCCCAGCCTTTCCTGAAGCGGATGGGGGTGATCCACGTTCCCCAGCCCTTCAACGGTGATGACATGTTTTCCGGCCACTGCGGCTGTCAGATGCGGTCGCACCCATGGAACCAAACACACGTACCTCCAATCAGCGGATACAAACAGGCGTTCACAGCGCGATGGCGAATCTGGGCGCGGCCGTCGCGGGTCTGCAGCACGACCGTGCAAGCACCGCACCCACCTTCGCCGCAGCCCAGCTTGGTGCCCTTCAGACCATGTTGGGAGCGGATGAAGTCGAGGAGGGTCCAGTGGGGGTTAGGGTTGGCGAGGACGATAGGGGTGCCGTTTAGGTAGAAGGAGAGATTAGGGGTGGAGGCAGCGGTGGTGAGAAAGTCTTGCAGTGCGGTAGGAAGAACCATGATGTTGCTAGAATGGCATAATTACAATGCAGATAAGGAGAAAAGAATGAGAGAACAATGGCAAGCACATTGTGGGAGAGGTTCAAGGGATGAAAATTGCATTGCGAGGGGCACTACTGTGCACGTGCAGCTGGGCCTCAAGGGCATCCATCAGGCCCCATTCTCACCCAGAGTTGAGGGGTTGAGCTGGCATTGCAGAAGCGAAGCAGAAGCAGAGCCTGTGAAGAAGCGCCACTGCGTCAGAGCTGCATCGGAGCTGCAACGCTGCTTGAAGTGGAGTGGAGATCCAGACTTGTCGGGAGTGGAGGGCTTCATTCCAAGGGTGGGGGTTGCCGATCGGATTACTTCCAGTGGTTATAGTTGGCTTGTCGGGTGGCCCGACTATCAGACAACAGATTAATTATCTGCAACATTGCTCCACTCATCTAAATCACCCCATCTGGACAGATCTCGACAGATCAGTCAAGAGTGGATGTTGCAAATAATCCAAAGATGGAGGCCATGCACGCAGAGAATTTGCATTCGCTGTCTATAGACATCCTATATGTACCGTAGCTATACCCATTCTATAGCAAAGTAACAACCAATTCAGAGAATCACACAAATCATATTTCAAAATGGGTTCCATCACTCCAATCGACAACCTCTTTCACCCCCTCAAACTAGGGTCTCTCTCCCTCTCTCATCGCGTCGTACAAGCCCCATGCACGCGGATGCGCGCTACTCAAGAATCAGAGGGCGTATATGTCCCAAACGCCCTTATGACCGAATACTATAGCCAAAGAGCATCACCGGGTGGTCTCCAACTCACCGAAGCAACCCCCATCAGCCGCCATGTATGTCTAACAGCATTACTCCTCTTTGCACTTCTCTAATTTTTTTCTCCACAGGCAGCAGGCTACCCTGGTGTTCCTGGAATATTCACCCCCTCCCAAATAAACGCTTGGAAAGATGTCACCTCCGCCGTCCACGCCAAAGGTGGCCTCATCGTCTGCCAACTATGGCACGTCGGACGCGCAACAGTACCGGCCTTTATCGAGGGCCAAACCCCTCTCTCATCTAGCGATATTCCCATGACCGGGAATGCACTTACCGGGGAGCCATACGCGGCTACTCCGCCCCGTGCGATGACCATTCCCGAGATCCAGGAAACTGTTGCAGAGTACGCCGCAGCCGCAACCCGTGCCATTGAAGCCGGCTTCGATGGAGTGGAGGTCCATGCTGCGAATGGATACTTGCTCGACCAGTTCCTGCACGATAATGTTAACACTCGTACAGACGAGTACGGAGGAACCGTGGAGAAGAGAGCGAGAATCGTCATCGAGGCGATCAAGGCTGTGTGTGACGCTGTTGGTGCGGATAAGGTTGGCGTGCGCTTGTCGCCGTATAACTATTTCCAAGATACGAGGGACTCGAATCCTCAGGATAACTGGCAGGTTATCTGTCAGATGATTGCCAGAGAGACCCCTGAGATTGCATACGCGCATATGATCGAGCCACGCTTTGATGAGGTATTGGACGAGGGGGCCAAGATGGGTTCGTTGCCTGGTAAGGGCAAGGTCAGTTTGGATCCGTTCAGAGCCATCTTCAAGCAGGCTGGAATTGGGTTTATTGCGGCTGGGAACTTTGATGGTGAGGGAGCAAAGCAGAAGGTCGTTGAGGACGGGGCTGATGCAGTGGCTTTTGGAAGGTGGTTTATTGCAAACCCCGATCTACCTAAGAGGTTGATGGAGGGGGCACAATTGAATAAGTATGACCGGGCAACGTTCTATGGAGCTGATCCGAAGGAGAAGGGGTACACGGATTATCCGGCATTGAGTGTATAATACAACTTATAGAAAGATAAATAAGTGAGACATTCTGCATTAACCAGCCTGCTATGAGATGAGTTGACAGACTATGCCTGGCACTATCATTAGTACTAGTAGTATCTGTTTTATGGCATTTACTAGAAAAGGGCCAGGACGGTCTGGAGAATACTGGGTGACCACAAAATAAAAGAATATATATTGTGACCTTTAGTAGCATCATAGAACTTCATCGTCAGAAATTACTGCTGCCAAAGCTTGAGTGAACCAATATAAAAGTGTTACGCTGACACGCGAATAGATGTTACTCCCAATAATGAAAAAAAGATTGTTTAGTAGCAAGCGACCTTAAAACAAAACCTCTGGAAGCTTAGTTGTCGTCTAAAAATTCACAATCCCTGCATTGTCCTCCTCGGCACGTGATTGCATGCCGATCAAAGCAAGGAGTCACCATGTGCCTCCCCCTTCTGAGTTTCCGTATCCATCAAGGGTCTCAAGCAAACGCATAACAGATGGCCTTGCTGCGGTAAATTATGTGGCAGATACGATTAAACTGTCGTCGGTCATATCGGCCATGTGGCATCAGCTTGGATTGCGCTGCTCGATACAATTTGTTCATCAATCGCACTTTTCAGACCGCAGTGCCTCATGCAGGAAGAGCAATTGACCGACACCGTGGGTTAAATATGACCCAATTCTCTCGGGACTCACTAACTAGCGATTGGCAGACAATGAAGAGGATTTCTTCAGATACAGTTCCGGGAGATGGCTGGTAGATGAAAAACACCAACTTGAGCAACGATATGTAAGATTCAACATCGATAATCTCTGCTCGCAAGCTGCATCGCTATTCAGTTCTGAAACAAGATGTATGCGCATCGCCAAAATGGAAGGGAACTTCAGCAAGGCTTTCCTTCTCACGATGGACGATGGCAACGAAGTCATAGCAAAGATTCCTTGCCCAAACGCTGGTCCGCCGGTACTGACAACCGAGTGCGAAGTGGCGACATTGAAGTTTTGTATGCTCTCTATGGTGGGTATCAGTCAGACCTTGAATTTCTAATTGTGTTGTCTAGTGCGTTCTCATATGTCAACTCCAGTTCCTGAAGTCTACCACTGGTCTTCAGATCCAACGAACCCCGTAGGTGCTGAGTATATTCTCATGGAAAAGACTCGCGGAGTACCACTAGCAGAGAAATGGAGCACCTTGAACACATTGCAGCGGTATCGATTAATCGATAAGATCTTGGAAATGGAGAAGGCGCTCCAAAGGGTACAATTGCCCGCATATGGAGGTCTATTCCTGCAGGAGACTTTGCCATCCAGCTACCCACGCTACCCCCTTTCCTCAGGCTTGGACCCGAATAAGCAGTTCTGTATAGGTCCGTCAGTTGACCTATCTTACACTGCATCTGCTGACCCAAGTGGGCAAAATGCCGGGCCATGTGAGTATTCAACCTTCTCATTTTCCGTAGGTTCTGACAACGTCAAGGGAGGTCGCTTCTGGAGTTCGCGCTCTCTGCACCACGTCGAGAATTGGCTCGAATTGTAGCAAAAGTTCATGATGTACATACCGACTTGAATAGGTTTGGTAACAATCAGTCTATCGAAGAGTACAGCGATCTCTTACAAAAGATGCAACTCATATTGCCAGCACTGTCGCAGCATCCACTCGTTCAAGAATCGGCAGCGTCGTCAGTCTGGCACACTGACCTGCACCTCGGAAACATATTCGTCTGTCCAGACGACCCCACGACAATAGAAGGCATAATTGATTGGCAGTCAGCCGAGGCAGCACCTTTATTCATCCAGGCTCGGTTTCCAGAGTTTCTTCGACCGCCAAAAGGTTACCGTTCGGGAACCAACGTTCCCAAGTTACCAGACAATTTTGATGAGCTGGGTCCAGATGAAAAGCAATCGGCCAAGGAAGAGCATACATTAGCGATCCAATCCAAGTACTATGAAATATCGTGCCGCGCACACAACAAGCCAGTTTTCAATGCAATTGCCTTGGACCGATGCCTTTGGGAACCTTTCACGCGTTGCCAGCTTCCTTCGAATGGGTCCTTAGTCCCACTACGGAACTCTTTAATACGTATTGCTGAGAACTGGGCGCTCTTGGGGCTTTCGGGTAGCTCCCCATTCCAATTTAATGAAGAGGAATTGAAGCGACATGACGAACAAGTTCAATTCTACGAAGATAGCTTGTCTCTGTGGGATCTTATCAAGGAACAGCTTGGCACTGATAATAGTGGATGGATCCATTCCGAAGACTGGGAATCGGTGAATAAAATGAACAAATATCTCTATAATATGTTCATCGACACAATGAGCGAGGAAATCTCGGCGGAAGAAGCCGCGAAACGATGGCCCTTTGTGCCGAAGGACGCCTGAGCTTCTTTAAACTTTAATGTCTGAAGCAGCGAACAGAAGCCATGGATATGATCGCATTACTAATATCCTTCGCAACCGTCTTTTAGCTACTAATCTCCAAAATATTTCCCTCCACTCCTTTCAGACTTAACGGTAATTGTGATGACACAGTCATTTGACATCCAAGGAGACCACATATCTTGCCTAACTCCCAGACCTATCTGAAGGTTGAATGGACGCTACACAGTGTAACTTGCACCGCGCGCTGTAATGCCTCCCGCCACACTGCGAACCCGAACTGGCTGCTTCCCATGTAAGCCAAGTTCTGTGCATGCTAAAATCGGCTCTTGTTCACCAACCATATATAGGTCGAAAGCGTCGCAAGAAATGCGATGAGACTCATCCGCATTGCAGCGCATGCATTCGAAACTCGCTGGACTGCAAGTGGCCCTCGGAGGATAATCAGCTCCCAGATGGCAGATCCCGGCATTCCCGGGGTACGAAGGCCATTATGCGCGCAGTAGCGTCATCAGGAGTATCGCTAATGCAACTCCCTCCATTCATCATGATGCCGGCACCATTCTCATCATCCGAGTGCACCTACCTATATCGATATTTTGCCTCCACGATTTTACCCCGTTTTGTACAACGCAACTCGGTAGACAAAACACACATGCTCCGCCTCGCACCCCAATTCTCTCCTCTTTTTGGGGCAATGGTCGCTGTGGCCGGAATGCAGCTGCCGACCAAAGACCGGTGGCCGGCCCACCTTGCCCTTCAGAGCTATCTGCATGCGATCCATGCCATTCAGATGTCACTAACTGATATTACCAAAGCTGGCAGTGACGATCGGATTCTGGCAACTGTGTCCCTGCTCGCCTGTTTCGAGGCATGTATCCGATTTTTAAAATTCTCATGTACGCAAGCTAACCTACACCACTGTAGTCCTGCCGATCAGATGCCATACCCACTGTCGCGCCGCATGTCAAAGCCGCGGGCCTCCTACTTACCCAACGCCGACCATGCGAATATCGCACGAAGGCTGCGGCCACGTTTGATCGCATCTGCGTCGAGTCATTCTTATACCAAGCATGCCTCATGATGATATTTGACCCATCACTTGATGCGCTCCCAGAGGATCGGAAGCAGCTGGGGCTCCCTCTTTATTTTGATAAGCCTACAAGCCCAGCCTCTGCCTCTGAACAGACTATTCTGCAGGCCTCTTACAAATTCTTTCTTCTTATTGCGGACGTGACGAAATTGTCTCGGCTATCAAGACCGCTTGATAGCGCGGAAGTGACGAAGTGGCGAAGTCTAGATTGTGAATCGTCGCGCTGGAGTCATCTCATCTGTTCAGCCGACATGTCTCTCGCGCTATGCTACCTAGCACTTCAGATTCTACTCCAAAAGGTGAATCCAAACATTACCTCCAGCCAGCGAATCCAGCGAGTGCAATCGTGTCTAGCAGGGGGTTTACACAGGGTACCTGCGTTGGAGATAGACATTTACCCGCCAATTTATCTGCTATGGCCCGTGGCTATTCTCGGGGCTGTTTCCGTAAGGCTCGAGGAGAGGGAAGTTGTCCGAGAGGTTATCGCCTCGATATCTGCTGCAAAGCTAGGTGGACATGCAGCTTGGGTACAGAGGAAATTAGACAAAGTCTGGACAGCCGTCAGTCCTGCACCGGAAAAACCACAAGTCGGTCTTATCGGACTCCAGCTTCTGCTGGATCAGGGGTGATTTCAACCTCAGAAATTATCTATGCGAACAAGACCGTGATTCGCAGCTCTTTGAGACCATCAATCGACAGCCTTGAGCCGATGGACCGAATTTTGAAGATATTGTGTTGTGATTGGGTGACAAATGGCCCAACAGGCCCACATAACAACAGCCCACCAATCACGGATATTTGCGCGCCCCCCACAGCATCTTGCAGCATACTCTTAGTATCCAGACACTGCAGGGGTTTACTCAAAGCTCTATAAAGATGGCCCCATTACTGCCCTCCTCCTCTTACCATAATCCTTTATTTCTTATTTTTTTTCCCCGTTTTTTTCTCTTAAAGCTATATTACAAGAATCCTCAAAATGACCAAGACAATCTCACCCCTCGCCGAAGCGCGCTACCGCGATTCAGAATCCTCCACCTTCCCTATCCCAACCGACCCCTCGAACTCTCTCCCAAGTACCCTGTCAACAATCCTCTCCCACCGATCCTGCCGTGCATTCCTCCCTTTCAAGCTCCCCGAAGGAACACTAGAAACTCTCATCACAGCAGCTCAAAGCGGCTCGACCTCCTCCCTTCTCCAGACATGGGACGTCATCGCCATCCAAGACCCGGAGCATAAATCCAACATCGCAACGCTGGCAGCCGACCAAGACTTCATCCGCCAAGCTCCGTTATTTCTGGTATTCTGCCCGAACCTGCGCCGTCTCAAGAACCTGTCAGAGCAGTATGGTCACCAGGATTCTCCGGTGTTGGATAACATGAATATGTTCATCATGAGCACGGTGGATTCGGCCATCGCGGCGCAGAACGTTGCCATTGCGGCTGAATCACTAGGTCTGGGAATCTGCTATGTGGGTGCGCTCAGGCATAATGCAGATGAGGTCTGTAAACTGCTGAACCTGCCGCCGTTGACGTGGGGCGTGTTTGGAATGGCCGTTGGGTATCCGGATACAGAGAACCGGCGCTCTGGTAGGCGGATTAAACCGCGTTTGCCGATGCGAGAGGTACTTCATATGGAGCGGTGGAACGAGGAGGGGCAGAAGGATAATGTCGCATCGTATGATAGGGCACTTGGGACGTTCTATGAAGAAGAGTCAAAGCTTGGGAGGAAGGCCTGGGGCGAGTTCGTTGCCGGCAGGGTTGCATCGCAAGCTCAGGGAGGGTGGGTGAACATTCGGAAGGTTATCGAGAACCAAGAGTTCAAACTTGAATAGTTGGCCTACATACATACATCTTTGACATCACATATAGAATAGAGAACCACAATCAATTCCCCAGATTCACCAACACTTTCATCGCATCATGCACCACCGCCCACCTCACCGTCGCCAACTGCTGCGCCATCGTCCTCACCAACCCCCTCGTATCATACTTTCCCCCGAGCGCCGCCATATCTCCCAAACTGCCACACGTCGTCATGGCCACGATCAAACTCGCCAGATCCGTCGTAACCCTCTCCCCACTACCATTACCACCACCGTCACCATCTCCATTCACCCCACCATGAAACGCCCAACAAGTCAACGTCGCCAAATACAAACACCACGGGAAATGAAACGCATCCGTCTGCTCCCAATCATGCAGACTCAGCACCGCCTCTTCCAACAACTTCGCCGCCTGTCTCGCAGCCCCTAATGCCCCCTCACCACCGCCAAGTAACCACTTCCTCAACCCCCGTCGCGACCTCTCCCGATCCCCTTCCGTCACAGCCCTCCCCAGGATCCTCCCCGCCCCAGCAGCAACCTGCAAGTCGAGTATCTCTACCTGCAGCGCCAACCACGCTGCACGATACAACGCACACGCCGCCATCTTCAGCCCCGTGAACACCCCTCCCGCTCCACCTCGTCTTGACCCAGCGACACCCTCCCCGGGATGTTGTCCGAAGTTCAACTTCATTGCCAGGCAATCAGCATCGAAGTCTACTTTCCACAGATCATACGACCTCCCCATGCGACGTGTCCACGCACCGACTCGCTCGGGCGTCTCAGCGCGTAACGTCGTCTGGTCCCGTCTCTTCAAGTCCGCTGAAACGGACATGAGTCCGTGCAGGACGACGATCCTGGCAAGGGTATTCAGATCGCGTGGCCGGGCCATCGCAGACGGGGTGATGTACCCCTTCAGCACAGAGAGGAACATCCTCGGGGGAGGTTCCATAGATGCATGATGCGCCCAGTCACTCGCCGTGCACGCTTCCCATGAGCTCTGGGAACAGGGCAGCGCGGATCTGATTTCGAACGCGGACATGCATAGGGACTGGGAGAAGAGGACAGCGTGTTGCGTATCCCACATGAAGCAGTGCAGGGCGACGCGCTTTTTCTGTTCGTCGTGCATGGCGGTGCGCCAGAGGGTGTCGATATCTGTATCTGTAGTGGCAGTGGTGGGGTTGGGTGCGTGGCGAATAGCGCAGCAGTCGCTTCGCCGGATGAGTTTGATCAAGACGCAGTGGAAGAGCTGGGCGCGTTCGCGTTGTTTTGGGCCCGCGCGCATCTTCCCGAAGCAGTCGATTAGGAGCATGGCTTGTAGGACCCAGAGGTCGGGCTGCGGGGAGAAGTCGGCGTGGCAGAATAGTTGGTTCCGCAGGGAGTCGTGGATGCCTACGGCGAGTTGGTGCGCTTCGCGGCTACTGTAGGTGGCGCCCATGGAGAGGATGGCGGCGAGGAGCACTGGGGTGGTGGTGGATGGGCAGAAGGTGGGTTGGTGCAGGAGGGGGTAGGTTGTGTTGAAGCGCGTGAAGAAGAGGTCACTGTAGGATTGGAGGGAGGGGAGGGATAGGAGTGGGGAGTCGAGTGGGGTGGGTTGGCCGTCGATGGTCAGGGGTGGGGCTTGGGCGATGAGGTTGAGGATGCCTTGACGGGCTTCTTCGGTGAGGATGGGGAGATGGGGTTGGGGGGTAGTTTGAAGGAGGGAGGGTGCGTCCATCCAGTCGAGGTTGATAGTGTCGGGTTGGGAGTCGAGGATGGGCGCGGAGAAGACGAGCGGGTCGCTGCGTTCGACGAAGGAGGCTGCTTGGAGGAGGACGGAGGAACCGTCGCGGTCGAGATATGATTTCGGGTCATCGATGGGAAGGGCATCCTCGGCGAAGGTGACCATGTCTGGACCTAGTGGGAGGTCGAAGGGAGGGAATGCGTCGTCTAGAGAGGCGACGTCGAACAACCAGTTGTAGTTATGGGTGGCCGCAAAGGGCATGTTGAAGTCGGTGGCTATTTGGTCAGCCGGAGTGCAATTAAAAAATAGTCTGGGAGGATGTACCAGTATCAAGGCTGAAGAAATCGCCCATTCCATCCAGTCCCAGACTCCAGGAGCCATCTGCCGCATCAAACTGCCCCGGGATGGGCTCGACATAGGGCTCGAATGGCCCGCTGGGCATCATCGGAGCCAGTAGTGGATCGGGCTCATCCAACGACATGGACGATGGGTCGCTCGCCGACGTCGGAGGCGACACAGGGGCACCATAGTCTTGGGCGCTGGTAACGGAAATGGACGATGAAGAGGCCGATGACGATGGAGGTAAGCTGTGGCTGGCACGAGCGCGTGACTGACGCTTCGGAGGACGAGTGATGATGGAGCCATCCCCCGCACGGCGAGTGCGTTTTCTCGTCTCCAGCACTCCTTGGCCAGGGCCTCCAGCTTCCTCATCACGTTTGGCATGGCGCATGAGATGGCGATCTGGCGGGTCAGATACGGAGTCGAGATATCTTGCAGTAGCGCAGCACCTACTCAATAGATCCGGGCGGTGGAAATGCACGGAGCATCGCTCACAGGTATAGCCTTGTCTTGCCTGGTCATGATTGAGGGCATGGCGACGCAGGTGCTCTGCGCGAGTAAAGGTCTTGCCGCAGTTGGGCCAGTGACACACGTGGGACTTCATGGGGGGTCATGATAAAGCGACTCAGGAGAAGAATACATGCAGGGACTCACATCCCGGGGATAAGACCTCATTTATCTGCGGGTCGGGTAGGCCGAAGCCGGTGATAAGCTGAAGGGGAAAAGAGGAGAAGCAGGAATGCGGACTGAAGATGCATATCGACGAATAACCTTCTGCGGGGACAAGGTTTCACTTATCGCTAACTAGTCCATTATTATTAATTCAGGAATGCCATCCCGGAGCTATCAATGAAATCACACCAATCGAGATAGGCCTATCTAGATCTTTAACCTTACAGAAAGTACCGCCAATCCGGGCTGCTTTCGCCCTCTCCCAACTGACGTGTATCCACTTCTCCCGGACGCACTCTTCGGCCTTGTTGGCGATCGCGTCGGCCATTTTCCCGTCGCATCCACAGCCCCAGTGCGATCACCACCACAATACACACCCCGTTGCAGCAGCAGGTGGCTACCAAGGTGGGAATATACCTACATTGTTAGTTGTCTCTACGGTCCAGGTAGTCAGGCTACTTACTTCGGAGCATATTGCGTGCGAAACGTCGCCGCGCTTAAGATTCCCGCCAAATTGCCCAACCCTACGAAGAAACCCGTGTTGGCTGCACGCGAGTTCTCGTGCATATTGTTGTTGTTATGCCACGCATGCACCAGACACGATGGGATATACGACCCGGCTGCCATCAGGAAACAGGCGAAATATGCGACTCCCTTGTGACTCAGGACATCGATTGTCGCCAGGATGACCATCCCGACAAGGGATATCACCAGCGAGAACACAATGTGGAATGTTCGCTCGCGGAAGTGATCCGACGACTTGGCCACACAGAGAAGCACTACCGCGCCTACCAGGTTTGGGGCGACCGTCCAGAGGTTTGTTTTGACAGTGGAAAATCCCAGTCGTTCGACAATCTATTCTGTTAGCTTCTTCTCTGCCAGTCGGCGAGGTCATGTCCTACCAACGGGAAGAAATTCATCGCGGTCGCATATGCCACCGGATAAGTGAACGTGATAATGCACCAGATGGGGAACTTCCAGTCCTTCCATGTCTCGAATGCAACCTTCAGATCCAGTTTGGTATCCACCTCGGCCGAGGTGTCGCGCAGTAATCGTGCCGTTGCCGCAGCCCGTTCACGCTCGTTGAGAAACCATGCAGTACGTGGATTGCCGGGCAACCAGAAGAACGACATGATTCCCATGAGGAAGGTCATTGAACCTTCAATGATGAACAGCCATTGCCAGCCTTTGACAGCTGGATCGTGGATCTGAAATACGCCGAAGGAGATGAGTCCGCTGAAGGCGGATGCGAGCACCGCAAAGGACTGCATGATGGCCAGTCGGAAGCCCATCTCGCCTCGCGTGTAAAAAAGTGTCATATAAAATGTCGCCCCCGCAAAGAAACCTGCTTCAAACACTCTGCCGATGTTAGATCAGGCTCTTGTTGATGGGCGTGGGACTTACCCTAGGATCATTCGAACAGCAATCATACCACCGAAGTCTTTCACAGCACATTGGCATAGAGCCAGGATTCCCCAGACCACGGTCACTGACAAGTTAGCCAGGTTCAGATGATACAATAGTACAACCTACTGAAAGACAGCACATAGCGTCCGGAGTACCGCTTCAGCAGCAGATTCCATGGCAAGTCACACAACCCGAACGGGATGTAGAATAGCAGCACCATCAACGAGTAGTCATTCCCGACCAGGTGAATATCCTCGTCTAGACCATCAGTTTTAGCGTTTGCCAGGTTACTCTGATTCTATTAGCAGTGACCAGATAACTACAAGAAGATACTACATACGCGGTCCATGCAGTCAAAAAAGTACATCTACACAGTCAGTAGCTGGTCGCCGACTCGGACACCATGCTCACCAAGCAGAGGAGTGGCAGGACGAAAAAGTCCACCTTCCGCACTGCAACTATTAGTATCCGCAGCAAGAATTAATTCTTCTCACTCACCATACGACCGTTCCGCATCACGGTCGATGTAGATACTACTCTCCTCAGACTTCATCGCAGGCTCGGCCGAAATGGCCTCCTTCTCGACAGTATCGGTGAAAGTCATTACGAGAATGAAATGCGAACAACCCTCACTTCACATCTGATCAGCTGCCAGCTGGCTGCATTCTATATACCAATGGCATTGTCTCCTATCCGTGTAACCTGCAAGGAGGCACAGGCATTGCCCGATTAGGCTACCCGTGCCGATCTGGGGTTATCGAGCTGCAGCTTCAGCATCCCGAGAGATAAGTGGCAAGAAGTGGCCATCTACGCCATCTCTCAGCTTCTCCGCATTCTTATCACCCGACCTTTGCAAGCTTTATCGTCGCCCCATCCTACCCCCACTCTTGTCTATACCAGACCCCGAAAATGGAGGGAATGAGCAGGCCCCTCGGTCTTCTGTCCGAGATTGCGCTCGAATTATCGATCATCACAGTCCACTGATGCTGGATATATTCACCTGAGATACCAGAATAGCATCAGCAACAAGCAACAACAATACCCAACGACACAATGGCTCCCAGCGCTCCCCCAATTCTTGATTTCTCCCCCTTCTACGGCGGCGACAGCGAGGCCAAGGCCCAGCTGGTTGAGGCCGTCCGCAACTGCTGCCTCTACAATGGCTTCTTCCAGATCACCGGTCATCGCGTGCCACTCGACCTACAGCGTCGCGTTATGCGCTGTGCCGAGCGATTCTTCGACCTCCCGCTGGAAGAGAAGCTCAAGATCGATAAGAGTAACCACCTCATTTTTATACTCCATCCTTTTCGCCACTAACCAAGGTTTCGAATTCAGACAAGAACAGTTTCAACCGCGGCTACGAACTCCTCCGCTCGCAGATGCTCGAAGTAGGCACCGGCCCCGAACTCAAAGAAGGCTTGTACATCGGCCAGGAAATCCCCGAAGATCATCCCTACTACATTCAGAAGAAGCTCAACAGCGGTCCGAACCAGTGGCCACCGACCGTGCCCGATAAGGAAGATTTCCAACGCACATCGATGGAATACTACAATGCGGTATTTGACTTGGCCAAGGACGTCCTGTCTCTTCTGGCTTTGACTTTGGATGTAAATGAGGATTACTTCGACCCACTCACCGACGGTGCGGTCGCAACCATGCGCATGCTGCATTACCCTGCGCAACCTAAGGATGCAGATGAGAAGCTAAACCGGGGTATTGGCGCACATACCGATTTCGGATGCATTACGCTGCTTCTGCAGGATGAGGTGGATGGATTGCAGGTTCTGGATGCACCTACTGGCCAGTGGCTTGATGTGAGTGCCACTTCCCTGTTTTATTGTCATATGGGCGTCATCTAACAGATCTACGATGCAGGTTCAACCAGTTCCTGGTGCCTACGTTGTCAATCTCGGCAACCTGTTCATGCGCATGGCCAACGACCGGTACAAATCCAACATTCACCGCGTCATCAACAAGTCTGGCCGCGAGCGATACTCGATTCCGTTCTTCTTCAGTGGAAACCCCGATTACCTGTGCGAGTGTCTGCCCAACTGTCGCGCGGAGGGAGAGGCACCGAAGTATCCACCTATCACCGTTGAGGACATGGTGACGGCTTCGTATAAGGAGAGCTACGGACGGGCGGAGCAGTATAAAAAGGAGATGGAGGAGAAGGCGAAGCTGACGATGGAGACGACGCCGGCTACAGCGGCGGTGGGTGCCTGAAATCCATGTAGTGGTTATTGTATATTTGTCCATAGCTTGCTTGCTTCTATGCCAATGAATTATGATTATCGTTTTGACCACACCACCATCTATATTGATGACATTATGCCTCGTAGTATCACAAATCCACAGAAACAATAAACCTAATTTGTCGTTAACACCAACTGTTAACGCCTTAATTGATTACCAATCCTCGATAACCAGTGGCCATACCCAGACTCATAAGTGGAGGTGGAGGTCTAAACGGCAGCCACACGAGCTGGCACAGATAGCGATCCCCCACCCTTGACAACCGATAAGATACTATTGATGTCGTGTAACTAGCCGTAATCAGCTGCGTCAGCAACCCGGAACTGGTCCAGGCACCCGTACAGCAACCCTAATCCTACCTATGTCGAATCTTATTTGATCGCCAGTCTTATGCCATCACATTCACGACAATGCACACCAATTCATCAACATGGACAGTATTCAGCAGGAGAAGAAGCCTGATCCGACTCAGCAATATGCCAACAGTATTGTGGGAGAGGAGAAGGGAGTCATACTGGATGACCCGGATGTGCAGCAGTTCTATGGCTCGTCAACCACAGAAGCATATCGGCTGAAGTCGGAGTTGGTGGGAAAGTGTATGGAGGAGATTGGGATGGGAAGGTGCGTTCTTCTCTTCGTCCTTGCCGTCAGGAAGGGATTGAATACTGATGAGTGCAGATTCCAATGGAAGCTCTTCGTCGTAACGGGGTTTGGATGGATCGTGGATAACGTTCGTGGCGCTATTCAACCATCAAGGATTGCTTCACTCACAAGAGAACTATAGTTTGCATCACAAGGCATCAGCAGCGTCCAACCGCCTATTAAACTCGAATTTCCCGGTATCGTCCAGGTCAGCTACAGTTCGGTGGCCTACTATACAGGCTTGATTCTTGGTGCTTCGTTCTGGGGTATCTCCAGCGACTTGATCGGCCGGAAGCCCGCGTTCAACTCGACCCTCCTGATTGCAGGTATCTTCCTGTGTGGTGCAGCTGGCACTAAAAGCTTTCTGGCCTTTAGCGCCATGTGGGCTGTCATCGGCACCGCAGCGGGAGGGAATGTCCCCGTAGATTCGATGATCTTTCTTGAGTTTGTTCCTGGGAGGTAGGTGTTCCTTCAGTCTGTTGGTGTTAATGAGACTAATTGAGGTCGACCAGTCACCAGTACCTCCTGACAGCCCTATCGGCCTGGTGGAACTTGGGTCAACTGATCGTGTCGCTCTTGGCCTGGGTCTTTCTCGCCAACTACAGCTGTCCAACCGATTCTACACCAGCAACATGCCATCGAAGTGAGAATATGGGATGGTATGTCGTCAGAATCCTATCTGCTACCACCAAGCATCTAATAAATGCAGGAGATACACCCTAATCACCCTAGGTGCTCTATCCCTCGCCTTTACCGTCATACGCATCTTTATCTTTAAGCTTCCCGAAACCCCCCGCTACCTCCTCTCCAAAGGCAAGGACCAAGCCGCCGTCGACTCCGTCAACTACGTCGCGCGCCAGAACGGAAAGCCTGAGCCTCTGACCATCGGCATGTTTCAGGAGATCGACGCCCGACTAGGAATTACCAATGAATCCAACACAGCTGCACAGGGCCCGGGCTTGACCACTAAGGAAATCATCAAGGAGAACATGAAAGACTTTCGGTCGACACACTACCAGGCCCTCTTTGCCACGAGGAAACTTGGTATCCATACTGGTATCATCTGGCTTATTTGGCTGACGATTGGTAAATACTGCATCCCCCTTTATACTCACCGGAAAATTTAAACTAACTATGCATGAAGGCATCGCCTATCCCCTCTACTTCAACTTTCTTCCCTCCTACCTGGCCACAAAATTCTCATCGGACGACTCCCTTTACACTACTTACAGAAACTACTGCATCGAGTCTGCTGTCGGCATAGTTGGGCCGCTCTCTGCAGCTTATTTCGTAACCACCTTCTTCGGCCGGCGTTGGATGATGGGTATTTCGTCCATCATCACGGGCGTCTTTCTCTTCGCATATGTGGGCGTCAGCAATCCAACGTCGAGTCTAGCGTTCGCTTGTATAACAGGCATGTTGGGGAATTTCGGTACGTGTACCCCAGTCACTCATCTCTACAAGTTTTCACATACTGATAATGTTACAGAATACGCAATCATGTACGCCTTCACGCCGGAATCCTTTCCCGCTCCACATCGAGGAACAGGTACCGGCACTGCTGCTTCATTATTAAGGTTTGGTGGGCTCTGTGCTAGTTTGATTGCTTCGCAGACAGGGTTCACGCCGGCGCCCATATATGCAAGTGCTGCATTATGGGTTGCTGTTGGGTTTGTCTGCTTTGGGCTACCATTTGAGACGCATGGGCATGCGGCTATTTAGATGTATGGGATTGGTCATTGTGCACGCTTGAGAGTGGGTAGACCGTGGTATCGGAAATTAGGTGTGTCTTGGCCAGATTCATGATGTACCGGGTCTCTGAGTTGCTTTGCCTTTGTACGGATTAGTTTGTCATTAGTACCGAGTCAGTTTATGATGCATTGGCAGTAAATGTCTGGTTTTCAAGTCATACTGTGGTCCTCTGCCAAGGTATCCACTTCGCCTAAACGAAGAGACCCTTGCCCCTCTACATCGATCAATGCAGCTGTCCGTCTTCCCCTCTACTTTTCTTTATTCCTAGCATCATCAGTCCCGAGCTGTTGGTTCGCTAAATCCTTGCAGGTGTAGATCATGCCTTTATTCACTGTCGTTCAAAGGGTACAGCGATCTCCGTTCATTTCCGTCTTCTTTGTTCCCTCAAACTATCTGATAGATAGCGCCCAACTGGACGGTAACGTCTCTATCTGCTTTGTCCGTAGTCCTTAGTCCGAAATGCAATCCACTGGCCATGCGTTCTTGTGTGCTGCTACGCTTAAGTTGCCCTTTCAAGCTCCTCCGCTTTTGGAAACGATCGCTAATGTGTACGGAGTATGGTAGTCATCCACAGCTACGGTACCGCCAAGTTTCTAACCATGGATGAGAATTCGATCGTGCGGGTGATATTGTGGCACCCTAATCGAACGAAACGATCGCGGAGGAACCGAAAACACCTAAGATCGTCAGTTGTGACCTTCTCCTCACTATCTCGAGGAACATACTCCGTGCTTTGTAGCTGCATAATGAAGTCGACGTTCAATGTCTGATAGCGATTAACTAATTTAAGCTGCAGATCACCCAACAGCCACCATCTCTGCTCCCAGCATCCCGTCGTGATCCGACTCACGAAAATCATCTGCCTCAAATTCAGCAGCTTCAGACCCACTGAGATCCGCTTGTTTATGAGCTCTGACCATTGATGGATCAGGGGCGCCTCCCGACCGACCCAAACTTGAGAGCGGGATGGCTTCTGTTTTTATCGTTATCATGGCGGCTGTCTCGGTCTCATCCCGAGCTATTGACATTTAGGGTTCAAGTTCTTTGAAGCGCAACTCGCAAAGTTTCCATCATATTCCGAAAAGAGCACACGTACGCAGCGTCGACACCAGACGACAAGATAAGCTTCCTCACCTCGTAGAGGATTTTCATCACAGGAGAACTCGTACGTCAACGTAAACGCCATCGTCCCCAATGGCTTGGTGCGTCGCTCCTCGCTACCTCTTTCGGCATAAAAACGTCAATCCGGTGCCGCGTGGGTCGCGATCAGCATGTCTGGAACGCCTGCCCCGATGCCGAGATACGAAATAGAATCCACTCTGGTGCTCATAGCAGCATGCCGTTGGCACTGATAGAGTTCACCGGACTGACTTCCGCTTCGTCTTGGCCGCTGCCGCTGTCTCGTTCCCCGGATCGTGGCTCTAGCGCACGCGGTAGAACTAACCTTCACCCCTATGTCCAACACACGGCCAATAAAAGCCTGTCACTTAAAGTTAGCATTTCGCTCTAAAATTGCCTTGGGTGTCGGTCAGGAAATCTCTTTTAGATGGATGCCCTTGGCATTCCAGAATATGAATGATTTGCATCCTCGTGTGCCCCTTTCCGTTCTGCAGAAGAACCGACCCCGAAATGGGTTATAAAGACAATATGCGCACAATTCTCGCACTGGTGTCACCTCCTCGGTACTCAGTCTGAGTACATCCAGTCTGGCAGTTCACCATGGCTAACGGGGACACGGAGGCGTTCACCCTCCTGTCATTGGGGCTGCTCTTCATCATCGTACGAATCTATGTCCGCTGGTCGCAAGTCGACGGGCCCCTCAACTTTGCCGTCGATGACTATTTGATGCCATTGGCAGGTGTATGTCTTTCTACACCGACATTCTGACCGTTCCGTCCTAACCGACACAGGCCGTCTTTATCGGCGAAACTGTCGCAGCGCACCTTGTCCGCAGCAAATTCAACGGTCTCACGAACAGCTACATGACCGACGAGCAACGAGCGGCCGTAGACCCAGCATCGAAAGAGTACTACGATCGGCAATGGGGATCTAAGATTCAGATCATCGGATGGTCGTTGTACGCCATGATTCTGTGGTTGATTAAGTTCTGCGTCGCCATTTACTACTCGCGCCTCACGTATGGCATCGGCTCTGATCTCATGTCGACGAAGCTAACTGACTGTCTAGATCTGGATTGAACCATCTCCCCGCACGAGTCCGCTTCGCATACATCCTCCTCGGCGTGACCTATCTGGTCGTCGGTCTGACCATTGTGCTGGGCTGTCAGCCCATGCACAAGAACTGGCAAATCAACCCCAACCCAGGCAGTATGTTTCTCATCTTCTCGTTGCTGCAGCTATACCCTTTGAGATCATTCCATTAACAGACGTCCTACCTTAGATATCTGCCAACCGACCAAATCGACCCTAAGCGTCCTCATCGTCGTCATCCCCAACGTCATAACCGATCTCTACCTCATGTCCATCCCACTTCCGCTCCTCTGGGCCGTCAAAATCAGTATCCGCCAGAAGCTCACACTCATGGCTCTTTTCAGCAGCGCGGCCTTTATCATTATGGCAGGCATTATCCGCGCCGTGACTATCCTCACGGTACGCTATGCATCATCCACTATCGTCCCACAATTCATCGAATAAATCACTAACGACCGCAGGCCGGCCCCGACGGCGCCGTCGCGGGAAGCCAATGGGCATGCCGTGAGACATTTGTGTCCATTGTCGTGGCCAATCTCCCCATCATACAACCTCTGCTTCGCAAGGGAGCAAGCAAGATTGGACTTAGCGTGCTGTTCAGTTCAGCTCGTGGAGGGACGGGAAGCTATGGTCGGAGACGGGGCGAGTCGTATCCGCTGGCTAGTCGGGAAGGGAATACACAGACGGCTACGAAGAAGTCTCGTACGAGGTTGTCTGTGCATGAAGGGACCATTACAGCCGGGTATGGAAGTGATGAGGAGGGCTTGGTTGGCACGGGCAAGAAGGGCAAGATGCGAGATATTACGGTGACTCAGGAGACGGTGATTGAGACGGAGCCGGCAGGGAAGGAGCCGGAGGGGACGGGGAGGTTTGATTGGGGGAGGAGGGAGTAATGGATTATAATTAATGATGGAGTATGGATATGGAATTAATGATGGGCGGAGTTGGGGATGGGCTATGGATATGGATATGGATATACATACACTTAATCACTCAATGATAGTATGATAAGGAACATTATACAGAACTTTAACTATCATCATACTATTATCACTCATCAGGGTGTGTGCAGATAAATTATTAAAGAGAGACTGAATTTTCTGAATTATTATTGAGACTCTCAGTTCAAGCTTATTGAGAGATACTACCTGAAACAAAACTGGTTCAGAATCTTCCTGTTCTATTTGATCTTGGTAGATTGAATGTGAAGGATGTTCTCTTCACTTTGTAGTCACTTGTATCTTACCCTAATACACTTAAGGGGTAAAGAGTCACCTTTTCCCATGATGTGATGCTTTGTTGCCTGCGCCACTAACCGAATCCCTAATCATGCAAAGAGATGTCAATGCTTGTAAAATTATATACAAACCTCAGTAGTATTGTACGGTCTCCTTTTGAAAATTCTAGTAATGAATATTACGGCCCGATTTTGGTTGTAAGTAGTCTTATATAAGAAGAGGAGATATTATTACAGCTCTACTGCCTCGACAAATACTAAATTATTTTTCGGCACCCAACTCCTCATACTCAGGCAACTTCCATCCACCCACCTCCTCATTCCCCATCCTATCCAACAACTCCGGAATCCTCAAGAAACACATCACAGCCGCAAACCAATGCAGCAACCAGATCCCCCACCACGAAGTCGGGAAGAACATTTTCACCATCGACGTATTCAACTTCTGAATCTCCTTCACAAACGGCCTCAAAGTAGTATCATAACTCTTCAACGCCGTCCCCACATCCCCAGCATGTCTGTTAATCTCCCCAGCCAACACATACGCCCCAACAAGACACCCCGTCGTTCCCATCCCCGTCACCACAGCCGGACACGCAGCCGCATCCCCCAACAACACAACCCGTCCCTTATACCACGTGTCTGTCTTCACCTGCACAATCTCCTGCGAGTAGAAATTATCCGTCGTCTTCATCCCCTCAATAAACCGCTCCGTCTGCCACCCCGCCCCGCGGTAGCGCTGTATCCAGAACTCCTTCTGCGCGTCCACTGACGCACGGTGAATAGACGCAAGCGATGGATTGTCATCTTTCAATATGAAATATACCTGCGACGTTGTGGGACTGTGACTCCGGCGAAATATCGCCCGTCCACCTGGAGACACATACGTCGTGAAGGTATTGGTATCACCTTTCTCTCGCGGAACGAACCAGTATGCTGCGTGGATACCGAGATGGAGATACGGATCAGGTGCATCTGGTGACAGAATCCCCCGTCTGATTCGCGAGCCCTGTCCGTCTGCACCGACCAGAAGATCGAACGTCTCGGACGTCCCATCCGAGAAGTAGGCCGTTGCTTTCACATCATCTTGCTCGAAGCGCTCCACGGTCGTGTTGAACCGATACTCCACGTTATTCTTGGTAGCGTCGTATAAGATCCGGACTAGATCGTCACGCATGATCTCAAATTCGGATGATAAAGATTGCGATCCATGTCCAGACGTATTTGGTCGAATTAGTGCTGTGACATGGTCATTGCCGTCGACGAGGGTGAAGCCGTCTTCGTGGACACAGTGCTTGCGGATGGTGTCGAGCAGACCCATTCGTCGGACTACTTCGATGCCTTGCTCACGGAGATCGATCTGCGCTCCTTTGTCGCGCAGCTGGGGGAAGCGTTCTACTACCACGACTTGGTGGTTGGTTCGAGAGAGCCAGAAGGCGAGGGCGGGACCGGCGCAGCCGCCGCCGCAGATGAGGACTTTCATTTTGTTTTTTTGGTGAGAGTGAGCTAGGTAGTTGTTCTTTCTGTGATGTGTGAATGTCATGTCATGGGCTGCATGTCGCGGGTTAAATAAGTCATGTCGGTTGGAGGGCCCGGACCCCGTCAACGGAAATTCAGAGCGCGAGAACATGATGGCACATGGCTTGTTGCCGATGTTATTGGATACTTGATTCTGGTCCGGATTAGGGTGGATAGTGAGTGCTACATATTGCAAGCCCCGCATATGACAGGGCTATGGAGGGTCGGTGGTGAAGGGTGAGACGGGTAGTTGGCTGGTTTGACGTGGGTCGACTCATGCAGGCGTCCGAGTGAGATTTTATGAATCATGCTGTGTCTGATGACCATGCCATTTTGCTGCCAACCTCTATGTACAGAGCAGCCACCATCTCTTGTTCTGTCAGACAGATGTTCCGTCTGTTGGTGTATCACACGCAGCACAGCCGGCTGTCCGAATGCGGAGATGTTGAAGGCTTCGGCATGTTTACACTCCGTCCGCGGGTGGTCCTGACCAATCTTCTAGCGTGTTATTTTCTATCCAGCTACTGCATCAAGTAACATCTGAACTTTTATTAGACCTGCTATTGCCAGGGTATGAAAAATTATGATGTGGCTTTTTAACACCGGCGTTATGTCCGGTCGGCGTTTGTTTCTAGCTCCGGGCGAGGAACGGAAGGTCCGCGGATACGCGCCCGTAGATAATGAGCAGCCAAGCCCTTATTTCAAGATATCCTTCCTGGTGTGGACACAACAGCCACTTGAATGCGCACTGGGGAATATAATAAGTTGAGCATCTACCATATGTGATAGAGCCATACACATCAATGCCTTTCCTCAATTCTGGATGTTCTTTCTCCTGGCGTCCAAATTACATCCGGAAAGCACCATGTTAACTAGCTACTCACAATTCTCCAATGAAATTGCCCATCAACGGAGGATTGATGTTATAACCACATGCTAGCTGTCTATTTAACCTCTTTCGGTCTCAAATATAACATGCAACTGGCAGTTTCCTGGGAATCTGCATTTAAAGCATCCTTTTAGGGCTTCATATTGTCCGCTACTGATACTGATAACTGTCATC